CTTTCCCTATAGAGTTTGAAATTAGGGGTTGATCCAAAAAGGATGGACTTAGTAGGCACCTGAGAAATGCCTGCTTTGCTTTAAGGCACTGACTAGAGATCTACAGGTCACCGAGGTCCCATCACCATTCCTGTCTGCAGCAACAGAAGGCTGTGGGCACATATGGTGCAAGTCAGCTCTTTTGGAAGGATGCTCAAATTTCTTGATGGAAGGAACACAGAACTCTGGGATTTCAACATTAGAGATGGATTACTTCTGGAAACTGAGGGAAACCAACTTAATATGCTTTTAACTTCCACAGACAATCCAAGATGCTTGCCTCAGTCTGCTGCTCTGTCTTCTAGCAGATAGATAAGGTGACAGATCCTTTGTACAGATTTTTTTTTTTTTGTCATGGCTTATACTCTTATAAAAGCTTAATTGTTCCTTCAGGTACTGAAATAATTTCCAAACTAAATATTTAACTAAAGCACTGAAACTCCTACCAAGCAATGCCTTGTTTGCATTCCAAACATCTTGGAATATTTTTGGAGGTGGGGGGGTGGGGGAGTCCTGGTTCACAGCAGAAATACACGAGGGACAACCTGGACACCAGCACTGCCCCGGGGAGACGCAGTGCCAGCGGGGTCCTGGGCACTGCCACTGCCCCTCGCAGCCTCTCTGGAGCCTTCCCTCACTGGCAGAACAGCCATCACCACCTTGTGAGTCCAGAAACTGCATCCAGCTTCTATTTCAGCTGTCCCACTAGGATGCAATCTGATCGCTTCCTTGTGCCAGATCTTTTGAGTGCAGCCACTGAGGTATGTTCAGTCTTGCCTTTTAAACTATATGCAACAGTCCAGCTCTGCTGTTCCAGGAAAATGTTGAACACTGAGACGCTGCCTGCAGTGACTTTCTCCTGTACCATGTAATAGTTACAAAGGAAACAGCCCCTTGGCAGACTTCACCTGCTTTACACCATTCTGGTTCTGAAACCTCCTACTCCCTTTGAGGCAGCACCAATCCCCCCTCCAAGCAGTTGCTGCCCAGTTTTCCAGACGGCTGGAAGACAGTTAAGTATTTGCACATTTTAAACCCACCAGCCCTGCTTTCAATGTCCTTTCTAATGCGTGGGCTATCTCGCAGATATCTGGCCCGCCCAGCCAGGACAGATAAGCAGGCTGGCTCATGCATCTGACCCCACCATCAGTGAAGAAAAAGCAGAGCTAAAACGCTCGTTTAACAGCCCATCCAGATGAAAGGGGACAGTCTGGCTTGCCCGATGGCACTGCTTTCACTTCTCTGCCATGGAAAGAAGCCCCTTGGGTCAAACGACTTGTCTGCACTACACTAATTGGAGAAATTTGGAGCTGCAGCCCTCCCTGTCCTTGCTGAAAGCAACAGTAGGAGGCTTGACTAAGCTGACAAAGGCAGAGTCACTGCCCACAAGATCTTTTTTTTTTTTACAGCTGGGATAGCAAGAAATCCAGCAAAACAAGGCTTAGACCACAAAAGAGTTAATGGGGTTGTGCTGCAGTTGTCTCTACAGCCCCGACCCTAACGAGGGGTACCCACAGCTCAGCTCGTTCTCCTCCACCCCTGGAGCCTGTGTGGGATGCAAACTCCTCTGCTCATTGCTAAAGCCAAACGAGGCACTTGACAACACATTTCTGTGGTTGTGGTTTTTGCAAACAAGACAAAAAAATCCCCTGGAGCGCCAAAGGGTCGGAGAAAAGGGAGAACAAACAAAATGCCCAGCTGTTTGGTTTGTAAAGGCCCGAGTTTTCCAACAGCATGGCACAAAGGAAAACTTAGTTAGGAAAGTGCTATCCCAGGGATTCCTCCAGGCCCCCCAGGGCTCGAGTGCTGGCCAGGCGCTGGGCTGTGCCCGGGAGCAGCACTGCTGGCACTCACAAAGTGCATCCCGATGGAGGTGGCTGCTGCCGTCTCGATTTCTGTGCCGATGTCCTCGATGAAGGGGTACTCGTTCTGGTCGTGGACAATGATCTTGGCTCCTGTGGACGTCACCAGGAAAGGGTTGTAGTCTGCTTCACCTATGTATAGAACAACCTGCAACCCTGAAGAGCAGAGAGACAAGGCAGGAGCAGAGTTACACCAGAACCCAGAGCCACTTTTTTCTGTTCAGGGAGGGCAGCACTATTTATTTAATGTTATCTGGCCTTAAGCAGAACTGTAACAACCAAGTGATGTCTTGGCAGTGCTAGACCGAGACGCTTACAGCCAGTAATGACCCCCTGTGGCCCCAAGTACAGCAAACAAACACCGTGTCTGCAGAATGCTGCTGAAAGGTACTTAAAAAAGTTATATAACTGGGAAGCAGCAATTCCCGATGGAAAACATTAGTGATGCAATGATATTATCTTTGTATTCTCTGGCAACAGTTTGCACTAGTTCGAACAGGCATTTCCCCAATCAGCTCACACATCTAGAGCCAACACATCAATCACTCTCCAGCAGGATCCAGTTCACTGAGCTGCTGGTTATCTCCCAGCCCCTCTGCAAACGGCTCCCTCACCGTACTCGCTGCCGCCCGTGGAGGTGCTGAGGACGGTCCCGTTCTCCCCGCTGTTGAAGGTGTAGCAATTGCCATGCAGGGGATGATGGAAACGAGTGAAGTGCCTGAAAGAAACCAAGTACTGTTACACTGCAGTTTTAACTGTCTGTGGGAGAAAAGCAGCACGTTTGGGCTTTTTCTGTTGGCAGAAACACAGCAAGACCAGGTGTTTCCATTCTTTCTTTTGTTTTTTGGCAAGCGATGTATTTTGGTGAAAAGCATGGGTCTTTTTCCTAATATCCTTGAAAACACACTGAACTGTGATCTGGTTTAATAGCATCAGGAAATTAAGAGTTTTGGAGGTTTTCATGTGGGAACAGAGGCTGAGAAGGCAGGGCAGGCAGAGTTACAGAGCTAGCAGGAAGGTGGCGGTGGAGGGGACACAGTCCTCCTCCATTGGACAGCCAAACATCTAAAGGAACACAAATCTTAATTTTTCAGAAAAGATGCCAGAGTTGCTGTCACACAGGGGAGGCTGAGGACACACCCTTGTGATTCAAGCCCATTCATGTCTCTCTGTGAACATCCCCTCCCACTCAAGCCAACTCCTGCTGAGCAAAGATGTCACCCGTGTGCAGGGCTGCAGACACAAGCTTTGGCAGCAGAGCCCTGGCACAGGGGGAGCTGCTAAACCCGGGTATGAGCACAACCTTCCCCCCAGCTCCTGGGGAGCTCTGCCCTTGGCAGCACCCCGCTACCAACGGGGGACTCTCCTGCTACCAGGACACACAAGAATGGCACTGCCACAATCATCAGCGGGTAAATTTGATTCTGCCAAAAGACAGAGGTTTATCTGAAGTGTGGACAGCAGAACACCATGACAAATCAAATCAAAAAGCATAATTAAAGTTCACAAAGACGTGACTGTTTGCTTTCCTTATAAATGGAAACAGTTCCTGCTGGAATGCAGCAAACACCAAATATTCAATTCCTACGTATTATGTACTTGGAAATAAGCTGTTAAGCTGGCAGGTATTTTCTGTGCACTGACCTTTTGTCACAAGATAGGCCATCAAAGAAACACGTCAGTAGAAGGTCATCGGCAGAATAACTCAATTTTTCTTTAGTCTCCAGGGGAATTTGTGCCATGATGTTCATGTAATGCAGCTTGTACCACTCCTGGATGGCATTAACACCAGAACTGAACGTATAAAGTGCACAGTCACTGCTGTTGTTCGCATCACACTGGTAATTACAAAGGGGAAAAAGCGTTTCAGGTGAAATGAAGTTATGTATTCTACAGGGTAGGTGTGATACCAGTTCTATTCCACAGTCATAACCACATAGGAAGCTACAGCAGCGCAAAGAAGCATCAAAAACCTTTCACTCAGAGCTGATACGATCAAATGTTTCAGGCCCAAAGAAACGGCCGTGAAAGGCACTAAGTCTATTTGGATAGACTTGAGGTTCTCTTCAAAGGGGCTGGAGATGAATCTGCAGACAGCCATGGAGGCATGGGAAGAAGAGCAGATGGAGTGTCATTGACTACAAAGCCATCTGAGCAAGCACCAAAACTGGCCAGGGGTATACTAACCCAAAACTCCCCTTTGTTGCCCCACAAGGAACTTGCTGGCTATGGCAGAGTGACACTCACCAGCTGAAAGCCTATGATATCATTCGAGTCCCCGGAGTTCACTATGGACGAGTCCTTGTGAAAGACACTGCCCTCTATTTTCCTCTTCTGGCCACTGTAGAGGTCAGTCGCTGTCTTTGAGAAGTCCTCAAACTTGAGCAGAGGGATCTGCTTGAAGAATTCGCTCCCTGTGCTGTTCCACTCACCCACCGACCGGCGCACCCTGGACTTGCCCTCTGAAAATCCGTAGAAAGTCTCCAAAGCCTTTTTGGTCTCCTTGTCCAATTCAGATAAGTAGTCTTTCATGGAACTGTACCTGCATTGGAGACAACGTGACAGAGCGTGATATCCCACCTCACCCTGGCACCCAGCTGGGGTGTTCCAGGGCCGCACCCCGCCGCTCCGGACAGGCCCCTGCGCCGTGGGCTCACACGGGTGGCTCTGGCTGCCACCCCACAGCACACGGGCCTGGGCAGGCACAGCTGTGCCCCGGAGAGACCCCAGAGCCAGGACCACAGGAAGCCAAGCAGAATGAGCCCCAGAGAAAGCCCTTGCAGGCTCCCACGCTCCTTGAAGGCTGTGTTAGCAAGCCCCAGGAGGCAGAGCGTGTGGAAGTAAGACTTCTGCATCTGTGCCAAGAGACAAGGGAAAGCTGGATCGGCTGCAGGGAGCAGGGTGGAGAGCTGGCAGCAGAACAGACATCAACGTAAAGTGTAATCTGGCAGGAGAAAAGGTACTGCTGATTGATAAAGCCAAAGCATCCTACAAGGAAAAAAAGAGGCTATAGAGGAGTGCCAGATACTCCGTTTCCGATCTTTAGGAGATGGTGTTTATAGTCCTGGAACTTTGGTCCTGGGAAAAATAAGAATTTGAGCAGAGAACGACGGAGCTGACCAGGGGCTGTCTGGGGCAGAAAGCTAAATCGACTGAGTCTAGCTCAGCAAGTCACCACAATCCACGTGTGTCTGAAGAGCATCAGCACAGGGGTGGATGGTTACTCAAGGTGCCGTACAGGGGAAAAACCCATGGTCGGGAAAGGCGCCGATGAGCGGCAGTGGGGTGCAGCGGGATAAGCCCGGGAAGGGGTTTGGTGCTGGGCTGGCGAGGGGATGATGGGTGTGCCCAGGGGGCTGGCCGCCGGGCCCCCCGTGTCCTCCCCACTGCCCCGGGCCTTACTTGTAGGGGTTGATGTTGCAGATGGTGACGGCGGGGAAGGGCAGCTTCTGGAACTGGACGGTGACAGAGACGGAGGCGCTGTAGTAGTTGAGGAGCAGCTCGGCGCACTGCCAGAGGATGAGCCCGACGGCGCTGAGGGTCAGCAGGATCC